TCTATATCACCAACGGCCCTCGGCCTCAGCGTGACTCTACATCACAACGGCCCTCGGCCTCAACATCACAACGGCCCTCGGCCTCAACATGACTCTACATTACAATATTTTTGGCCTTAGCATGATTTCACATCACGAACGGCCCTCGGCCTCAGCGTGACTCTACATCACGAATGGCCCTCGACCTAAACGTGATTCTACATCACCAACGGCCCTCGGCCTCAGCATGATTCCGCATCACAACGGCCCTCGGCCTTACATCTCTCCGACATCAAATATTTGATGTCAGGGGCCATCATACAGGCCCCTCAGCCTTCACCCCTTCAGCATCTTTATTTGATGTCGGGGTCATCATACAGGCCCTCAGCCTTCATCCCTCCGGCATCTTCATTTAATGCCAGGGGCTATCATATAGGCCATCGGCCTTCATCCCTCCGACATGTTTATTTGATGTCGGGGGCTATCATACAGGCCCTCGGCCTTCATCCCTCCGAAATCTTTATTTGATGCCAGGGGCTATCATACAGGCCCTCAGCCTTCATCCCCCTGACATCTTTATTTGATGCCAGGGACTACCATACAGGCCCATCGCCCTTCATCCCTCCAACATCTTTATTTGATGTCGGGGGTCGTCACACAGGCCCCTCGGCCTAACCTTCATCCATCCGGCATCTTTATTTGATGCCAGGGGCTATCATACAGGCCCATCGGCCTTCATGCCTCCGACATCTTTATTTGATGTCGGGGGCCATCACACATGCCCCTCGGCCTTCATCCCTCCGACATCTTTATTTGATGCCAGGGGCTATCATACAGGCCCCTCGGCCTCCATCGCTCCGACATCTGTATTTGATGTCAGGGGCTCTCACACAGGCCCACCTGGCCTTGCACCCCTCCATCACCTTTATTTGATAACGGGGGGTCCTTACAGGCTCCTCAACCTTTTCATGCAGGATCTAAGGCTGGTCTTGGATATCCCCTCAGCAGACAGACACAACCACCGCTCAACAATCTAGGCCGAAGGGTGCATTCCTTTTGCTTCATTCTAGGGGCATCCGGTGTACTCTTTTTCCCTCATTAGGATTTTTTCCCACAAGGTTTTTTCCTAATGAGGTTTTTAACTAGGCATCTCCCCATTGTGGAACAAAAGGCGTCACCCCTCGGCGGCTCCTGCTGAAGGCATGCATCACTCTACTCCTGTTCCCCTCGAGAAACTCTCAGCAAAAGGAGTGGGGGACTGGGGGACTCCCCTCAGCAAACACGCAAATGTTAAAAAATTTCTATTTCTAAGCTACAGCAAGTTGTGGCAAGATCACAACGACAATCTACTCCCTTCAGCAAAAATAATCAAACTTGAAAATTCTTATTCTTCAGTTGCAGAAAGGGAGCCATCGGAAACTTCAAGACACTACTCCTATTTCCCTCGAGAAACTCTCGACAAAAGGAGTGGGGGACTCCTGATGGAGTATATGGTCCGGGACACCCCGACCCACAGACTCCTGCTTCTTCTACACAGGCCCATCAAGCCCGATGAGCACACAAAGCCCAAACGTAGCGGCCCAAGCATGAAGAAGCCCACGCTGCACACGTGGATGCCTTCGGCCCTATGGCCGAGGGCTCTAAATTCTGGGAGACATCTTAATATGGTCCTGCAAAGCTTCAGGAAAATCCTGGCTAAAATGTTAGCCTTCGGCCACTCGATGCCTTCGACACCCCTGATGCCTTCGGCCCCATGATGCCTTCGGCCACACAATGCCTTCGGCCACCCGATGCCTTCGTCCACACAATGTCTTCGCCCCCTAATGCCTTTGGCCACATGATGCCTTCGGCCATACGATACCTTCGGCAACAGAGCTATCGACGAAGATTCCTTTTAGAGACAGCCAACCACCGCATTTAATATGGCGTCACATCCACCCACCGCATTTAATGCGGTGCACATGCATATGTCGGTGTCACCCCGATTGAGGTGACCCCTCGACCGTTAGATTGTTGACACGTGTACTCTCACCGCATTTATAGCTGCTATAAATAGCAGCCCTTATTCACCTTGTAAAACAACGAGTTCATTTAATGCATTTCACTCTCTCTCTTACTTACTTGCTCTGACTTCTCTCTAAGTTATTCACCGTAGTAACCCCTCAGATAAGCTACCCCCCGGGTACACTATCCATCAAACTCCTTGAGGTATTTTTTTGAGACACTTTGATTCCCTTGTTTGATTGCTTTATTTATAGTTAGGAAGAAGTTTAATTGTTCTATCATACTCATCTCGAATTCGAAGCTCATAAGTACAGAAAACTCATCACAAAGAGAATCATTAGTAACACAAAAATAATGTCATCTACATAAATTTGAACATCCAACAAGTCTTGGTCTTTTACTTTGAAAAACAATGTTTTGTCAATTTACCTCTTTCAAAATCATTTTCTAAAAGAATTTTTGGTAATTTTCATACTAAGCTCGAGGAGCTTTTTTAGATGATAAAACACTTTATCAAGTTTAAATACATCATTAGGAAAGTTAGGATTTTCAAACCCTGATGGTTGTTTTACATATACCCCTTCATTAAGATTTCCATTTAAGAAGATCGTTTTTACATCCATTTGATGAAGTGAGAATCCCATATGAGCTACGAAGGCAATGGACATCATTATGGCTTCAAGTCTTGCCACTGGAGTGAATATCTCATTGAAGTTTATTCCTTCTTGTTGGTTGTATCTCTTCACCACAAACCTTGCAGTGTTTCTAATAACTTGTCCATGCTCATCTAGCTTATTTGTAAACACCCATTTAAGTCTTATCATCAACTTTTGCTTGGGCCTTGGTTCTAGATGCCAAAATTTATTTCTTTGAGTTAATGAAATTCTTCCTACATTGCTAGAACCCAATCAAGGTCAGAGAGAGCTATCGTATTGTTCTCTGGCTCTATAAGAGATAAGTAATCGATAAAAGCACAAAAGTTTTTAAGTTTAGATTGAGTTGTAACTCCCTGATCTTGTCCAGTAAAGAGATTATCCATTTGATGTGAACGGTGATGCTTACATCCTTTGACGACACCATTGTTAATTTGTTGAGAGTTGTCTGTAACTGGTTCTGCCTGTTCTTCAGACTGGTTGGCAGTGGATTGGCTAGGTACATCCTCAGTTCTAGACTCATAATTTTTAGTTTGCATTTGTTTCTCTTCATGTTGATTGGTTTCGTTATTAGTCCCCCCTTCCCTATGAATTTGGTTTGATCTGCGTCCAATCCCAACTTCTTCATCATCGTCCGACATTTGTCTTGAAGCAATTGCTTCGTCAAAGGTTAGATCAATGCTTTCTTGGACGCATTGAGTACATATTGAGTAATTTGTAGGCCTTGTTATGTGAGGAGTATCCCAAGAAAATTGCTTTTTCACTTCGAGCATCAAATTTCCCTATGCGGTCCTTTCCACTGTTGTGCACGAAACAAATGATCCCAAACATTTTTAAGGTGACTAATGTTTGGGTTTCTTCCTTTTAGAAGATCATGGTGAGTTTTTCCTAACAGGGAGCGGATCATGGCTCGATTGATGATGCAACATGCAATATCTAGAGCTTCTGTCCAAAAGTTTTGGCTAAATCACTAGAGATTAACATGGTTCTAGTCATATCTTTCAGTGTTCTATTCTTTTGTTCTACCATCCCATTTTGTTGAGGCGTTCTCGGGGCAGAGAAACTGTTATCAATGCCTCATTGTTTACAAAATGCATCAAAGAGAGAATTGTCAAATTCAGTCCCATGATCTAATCGTATCTTGATAAATTGTTACTCTGTTTGACGCTCAACTTTTCTTATAAAAATATCAAACTCATTAAAAATATCTTTCTTGCTAGCAAGAAAGATAGTTTAAGTGTATCTCGTGGAATCATCAACAATTACAAGAACATATTCTTTATTTTCCCGACTACGAACATACATTGGTCCACACAAATCCATGTGTATCATTTATATTGGTTTACTTGTGTTCACATTTTTTTAAATAAGTTCATGTTCGTTTTTCGGTGGTACAAGCAGGGTAAATATGGTCAAGTGAACACTTCTTCTTAGGCAACCCAAATACCAAATCTTGAGATTCCAATCTATTTAATAAAGAAAAACTAGCATTTCGAGCCTTTTGTGCAATAGTAGGGGATCATTGTCAATAACACTTGAATAAGTCAAAAATACATTTGACAATAGATCAAGATAAACTTTTTAGGTGTTACCAAACCATTTCTCTTCAAGTATAACTTGTTGAGTATTACAATTGACAATCCAACATATATCATGATTAAAAATAACATTGTTAACTTTGCCACAAAATTGAGAGATGTTTAGCAAATTAAATTTCAAACGCTTGACAAGAAAGTTAATTAAACTTACCTCAAAGTCATCTTGGTCGGATTCCACATACATCAGAGTGTGCCATTAGACATACCCCATCCAGACTTAAACTCTTAGGAGACGTTTACTTCGCTGCTGAAGGCACAGTTAGGTTAGTAAGACATGTGAAGTAAACACGCAAGTTGCTTAAAACGCTGCTTACTAACCGAAAGAGATGCTTAAAGTGCCGCTTACTAAGCATACCACCCCCATGTATTAATTAAGCAACACTTTAAGCTTTTTCAGTTTCCAAATTTACCCTTACCTTTACCCCTTGCCCTACCCTACCTTACCCCCACCCCACCCTGACCCCCACCCTTGACCCGACCATCATTGCCTTTTTCAAATTTCTATTGAAGCTTTTGTCTTTGTTGAACCGCCGAGTAGATTCCCCTAGTTTTTAAAAAACTGCTTCTAGGAGCATTTTGGAGTACCCAAAAATATTTCTGCATTTTCACCGAAACATTCCAATATACACTTCTACTTCTTGAAGGATGATAAACAGTTTTGAGAGTAGATCCAAATACCCCTAAATACTGAAAATTGTGAGCTTATAATTGAATACTAGTGGTTTTATTGGTAAAGAAGTTAATTTTTCATAACATTTGGTGCGATATGCAAATCCCGTTTCACACATATCCGCGCCTTCATATCCTGCATGGCACACACAGAGAAAGCTCATCTTCTTCCATCAATTCTCTCTTTATATCTTGTATCTAGAGATTTCTGAAACCCTGCTTCTATCCACCTCTTTTCTTTTCGCGCTTCTACTAGACTTATGTAAATGGACTGGGTTTGTAGAAATATCGCTTGGAGATCCCAATTCTGCCTCGCAAATGTCGGTGTTGGAGATGGAATCGATTGAAGACTATCGCATTCTTATTACAATTTTGGTATCTTTCATCTTCTTGTCTTCTACCCCATTACATATGTTTTGGTTGCTCATTGATTTTTTCGTGACATTTTCCTGAACATTAGTGACAGTCGCTGTGGATATGAGGATCCTTTGTTATCTAACTTGTAATGATTCTCGAGCTACGTTGTTGTCTTTGGACCTCATAAGAAATTTTTTCTTTTTTTTTTGAGGAAATTAACGGTAACAAGTTCCAAGAATAAAACACTTGGCAACGCATACTTAAAAGTTCATTTGAATTTCAAAGGTTTTATTAAATTTTCAAACTTGAGTTTTTAGCAAGTTCTTTGGATGAGAAGCATATTCTTTATTTTCTTGAATCCAGGGATCCTCTTTCGTACACCAGTACACTGGCTTTCCAGTTGGTACTGTGTCAAAGAATACTCTTTTACTTGCTCTATGAGTGCTGACTCGGATTTAATAAGGAAAGCATGGTGGGACACTCTTTATTTGCATGGTGAAGCATTTTGGTTTTGATCACTTACTCTTTCTTTACTGGCTTCTTTTTAAAGCCTTTGTTTGGTTTAACAAAGAAATAGAGAAGAGAGATCAGAGAAATAGTAATCCGTGCATATCTATGGTAGATGTTTTGTATTGTTTGGCAGGACAGAAATGGAGTAGTGGTAGGTTGTGATTACGAGGAAATTTATATCACTCCTATATCGGTTATTCATTTAACTCTATTTCTCTTCTGAGTTCTCACCAAAGGAGAAAAATGCTCCATTTCCTTGCGATTAATTTCCTTCACATATCCTTCCTCTAAACTTTCCTGTATTATATGTGAAATATGACTGGAATGCAATTTTTTTTTACAATTATGATTTCTTTTTTCACCTCAGAATCAGCCACACAGCAAAGAGATGCCAGGCGTCCAGTATGATAATGATTCTATTGTACCACCCGCAACTAGATTGGAGAGGCTTTTGAGATCAAGGGAGTTAAGAAAATATGGCAGGTCTCATCATTCAAATGAAGGTGGAGTAAGAGATTGTTGTGGTGTACATGATGGTGATGAGAAAAGATCAATAGAGGATAGTTTTCTTGAAGGAATTTCTGAAGCGACTAAATTACCTTGTGATGGATATGAAAGGATAGATGCGCACGCGAAGAAACAACGATTATTGGTGGTGGCAAATCGCTTACCGGTAGCCGCTACAAGAAAGGGAGAGGACTCATGGGCTCTTGAAGTCAATGTAGGAGGACTAGTCAGTGCACTCTTAGGTAATCAATAACGTTGTATGTTGATATGTTAAAATCACTTACCTAATTCCCAGGCTTCCCTTGGCTGCCTATGTTTTTTCCATGAATCCAACCAGCCTACTCCTGCCTAGCAGGTTTTAGAGGCTAACTGCCCAAATGTTGGCATACCTATTTGATTTGTATCCTATTTGTACGTCAACCCTTTTAATGTATCAAAGTGGTACTCCAAACAATGACAAGTGTTACATTTTGTGGTACCACCTACCAACGTGACTTTCGGTGGAATTTGATTGCGTTGATAACCAAAGTATGCAAGAAATGTTATGTTATGTTGAAGGAGAGCGTATTTATAAAAAAAGATTTTGTTGTGCAGTGATTTTTTTGATACACCAACTTCCATTCAACACATTTCAAGAGTGTCGGAATCATTACATGGAAAAAGACAGTTGCACGTGACTGCTTTCATTTAACCTTACATGATACGTAGTATTTGAATGCGTATTCAATTCTGGTGGTTAAATGTAGTAACATTTGTCTAGAATTCACTTTGGTAGTATGCAGTGTAACATTTGTCAAAAGTCAGGTTCCGGGGGACCATTTTGATTCATTTAGTAGTTGGGTACCAAAATGATAAAATCAAGTAGTCGTGGTACCATTCGAGCGTTTAACCCTTATCCCTTTTTAGAGCATTGTCCCTTCCGATGCACCAAAATTTCTTTGGAAATACTTTCTCCATATCTAAATACTCGGGACATTAGGATATTGCATAGAGTTCAAGGATGAAATAGAAAGAGTAGTGAATAGTGTAGAAAAAGGGGAAAAGTATGAGAGAAGTATGAAAAAGAATGAAAGAGAAGATGAAAAAGTAGAAAAAGTAAGTGTAAGGTATTTTTAGATGAAAAACTTACCAAAAAGCGAGTGTTGCAAATATTTAAATATGGACCAAAAGGGAAAGTCATGCAAGTATTTAAATACGGAGAGAGTAGCTTATTTATTATGGCTTTAACTTTTACTGATTATTTTCATCCAGGTGTTGCTGAGTTTGAAGCAAGATGGATTGGGTGGGCTGGTGTGAATGTACCTGATGAAATTGGACAGAGATCACTTTCCAAAGAATTAGCTAAAATGGTTCTTAATACTCGTTCCTTACTTATCCATTTGTCTAGGTTGAGCGGTTTTCCTTGTTCGCCTATTTATGAAATCTGTGCACATTAAAGAGTTTTTTCAAACCTTTTATATTGTTAAATTTATCATTTTCCCAAGAGCAATGTAAATGGGGCAGTGACACTTTACAGGGGAATTTTTAGATAAAGTACTAAAGGTTTTGATTAATATATCATTCCAACACATTTTCTTAAAGTCTGCGGTTTGGTCCCTGGATTGATAACCAGATCAAGTGTCATCTATGTAATCATTCCCACTAACTAAGAATTGGACAACATAGATTTTTGAATCTAAACAAGCGCATTTGTACATTTTCTTTAATTTAGTGCCACGATATCTATACCATTTTCTATGTAATGTAACACGACAGGAACTTGGCTGATCATAAATGACTTTCTGCCATTTTTTCTGATAAAACAGAGATGTATCCCTGTTTTCCTGGATGAGGACACTGTCAATCAGTATTATAATGGTTATTGTAACAACATATTATGGCCTCTTTTCCATTATCTTGGACTTCCTCATGAGGACCGCCTAGCGACCACCCGAAGCTTCCAGTCTCAGTTTGCTGCATATACGAAGGCTAACCAGATGTTTGCTGATGTTGTAAATGAGCATTATAAGGAGGGAGATATTGTGTGGTGCCATGACTACCACTTAATGTTTCTTCCCAAATGTTTGAAAGAGCATAACATAGACATGAAGGTTGGTTGGTTTCTTCACACGCCATTCTCTTCCTCTGAAATTTACAGGACGCTGCCTTCTAGATCAGAGCTTCTGAGAGCTGTTCTTTTTGCTGATTTGGTTGGGTGAGTATTTTATTTTTTAACCCGCTTCACTAAAATCCTGTTAGTGCCTCTTAAATGGTTGATTAGTCACATTGGTTGCCTACTAGATATGAGTCCCTTTGAGATGGAAATATCAAAATTTGGTCTGGTTCTGGGTTGTGAAACATCCGATCAATTAATGGTTTGAAGCATAGCTCATTTGGGGTCGGTTTGGGTCCATTTGTCCACCCTTTCAGTTGTCAGCGTGTTGAGTATGCCCATTGAGTATGCCCACTGGATCTCTACTTTGTGTGTATGTACTATATAAGTGTGGGGTAAAACTCACATCTTGAGGATCTTTATACGGTTATATCCAATTTAGTATAAATCTTATCTTCTATAGGTGCTACTCCCACATTTTGTCTGATTATCTCATTCCTCAAGCGGTCTTTTCTGGTATGTCCACACATCCAACGCAACATACGCATGGCATTTCTTCACCGCCCAACACTCTACACCATACATTAATGCAGGCCTTATTGTTGTTCGATAAAATTTACCTTTCAGTCTAGTCGGCATACTTCGATCGCATATAAATATTGATGCACTCTTCCATTTCATCCGCCCAACTCTGATTCTATGACATACATCTCCATCTAATTCACCATCCTTCTGAATTATGGAGCCCAAATAACGGAACATATCACACAATGGTATCTCATTACCATCAAGAGTAATCCCATTGTTGCTACTACTTTTACCTCCACCAACTTGCACTCCATATACTCAGTCTTGCTTCGACTTAGTCTGAAACCCTTGGTCTCCAATGTTTGTTGCCATACTTCCAACTTCACTTTAACACCGGATTGCGTCTCATCAATCAATATAATATTGTCGGTAAACATCATGCGCCACGATATATCTTCTTGAATTGACTTCGTAAGTTCATCCATGACTATAGCAAATCAGAAAGGACTCAGAGCAGATCCTTGGTGCACTCTATAGTAATAGGGAACTCTGCGGTCCTCCTTACACTAGTGCGGACACTTGTAGTACAAGCATCATACATATCCATGATAATACTGATATACTTACGTGATATGCCTTTTCTAGTTAAGGCCCACCAAAGGACTTCTCGAGGTACCCTATCATATGCCTTTTCTAAGTCAATGAACACCAAATGAAGATCCCTTTTTGTGTCTCTATACTTCTCCACAACTTGTCTAAGAAGGTGAATGACCTCAGTTGTTGAGCGTCCAGGCATAAAACCAAATTGATTCTCCGAAATTTTCACACTTTTATGAAGTCTTTGCTCAACCACTCCCTTCAAAAGTTTCATGGTGTGACTCATAAGCTTAATCCCTCGATAGTTGACACATTCTTGTGCATCACCCTTATTTTTAAATAGGGGAATGAGAGTACTCTTCCGCCAACTCACTGACATTTTGTTGTTTCTCCAAATCATGTTGAAGAAATGTGTTAGCCACTCGATGCCTTTCTCTCCCAAACTTCTCCAAGCCCTGATCGGTATGCCATTTGGGCCTACTGCTTTCTTCCACCCCATTTTTCTCATAGCCTCTTTAACTTCTGTTATTTGAATCCTTCTCACGAAGTCCCGATTTACCACACTCTGGTATAGTAAGATCATCAATACCTTATACTTTATTCCCGTTGAACAAGGTATCAAAGTATGACCTCCACCTCTCTTTGATTTCCTCGTCCTCCATTAGTACCCTTTAATCGACATCTTTCACACATTTAACTTTTTCGATATCTTGATAACTACGGTCACGAGGGTGAGCAAGTCTGTAGATGTCTTTTTCTTCTTCCTTAGAGTCCAATTTTACATACAATTCCTTGTTCACTTTTCCTCTTGGTTCCTTAACAACTTTCTTTACTCTTCTTCTAGTCTCCTTGTATTCCTCTATGTTCTTGTCGTTCCAACTTTTGCCCAATTTCTTATAGCATTCCCTTTTGGTCCTTATTGCTTGTTTCACTTCATTGATTCTCCGAGTATCTCTTTTTTGGTAGAAGACATCCTTTAGATTCTCTGAGTATCTCCTTTGCCACTTTGTTAATGATGGACTCCATTGATAACCACACATCATTCACATGTGTGTCATTATCAATAGACCATACATCTTCCTCCAACATTTCGTGTGCAAAAGTTTCTTGGAGATTCCCCTCGAGCCTCCAACACTTTATCTTTGGCTCCCCTTATACCTTAATCCGCCTCCTCTTTTTACCTTGAAAATCAAGCACAAGAATCCTATGTTGAGTGACAACACTCTCACCTAGGATAACCTTACAATCAATCTAGTTAGTTCTCCAAGTCGTCCGACCGTACTAAAAAGTAGTCAATTTGGGTACTATTAGCTCCACTTCTATAAGTGACAAAGTGAAAGTCTCTTTTCTAGAACCAAGTGTTCATCACAGCCAACTCATAAGTCGAGGCAAAATCCAGAATGTTTTTCCCCGCTTCATTTCTAGTGCCAAAACCATGTCCGCCATGGATACTCTCAAAACCATCACGACTTGGGCCCACATGCCCCGTTGAGGTTGCCTCATATGACCAGCTTCTCTCCCCTTCTCTCCCCTTGGCACTCGTCGCACCACTTCCTCAAGATCCTCCCAAAATTGTTGAGTGATGGATGCATCCAATCCCACTTGTGGTGCATAAGCATTTACCACGAACACGATCTCATCTCCTATTATCATCTTAATGCTCATGATGCGATCATTTTTTCTAAAGACTTCAACCACACCCTTAATATAATCATGTGCCACCATAATGTCTACTCCATTTCTGTCCCTCTCTCTCCCGAATACCACAGCTTAAAACCTTCGGGATTAATCTCACGTGCCTTTTCTCCAACCCACTTAGTTCTTTGCATGCACATTATGCTGATATTCCTCCTCTTCATAACCTCGGCTATCTCAGATGATCTTCCCGTAAGAGAGCCAACATTCCATGTCCCAAAATGCAATCTAGCACCCTGCCTTCTCTTCTTCACACCACATCGACCCCCACCATGCCCTTGCATATTTGACACCATCCTCGAGCATTGGAGTGGCGCGTTGCTTCCGGACGACGACCTAGTAGCCTTAGCATTCTTATCACCACACCCAGGCCTATGAAGTGTAGCGCGCCCTTGCTCATTTGACACCACCCCCGGGCGGAAGGATGACGCGTCGGTTATGGGTGACGATGATAGGTAACTCCACAAAGCAGCAGAAATTTAGTGTTCAATTGATAAAATCTGAGGAACCGATCCTCCCAGTACAATGGCGCATAACAGTAAACCCACGTATAGTAGCGTAAAACAGAAAATAGAAGAGAAGAAAGGTCTGAGACAGTTCAAGTCGTCTCACACTCCCAAGGCCTAATTCCAGATCCAATTTCTGCCTAACCTCCCCCACTCCTCCCTCTCACTCTTATACTAATTTTATTCTTAAAGGCCGGCCCAAGCCCATATACATGGCCCAGAACCCTTATTTTTACTCTACTACCATTGTTTAATATCACTCTATTACTATTATCAGTAAGCCTGGGATCCTATCATATCTCTCCCCCCTTGGACAACCACCTTGTCCTCAAGGTGGGTGATAGGAAAAGGCCTTGATCTTCAACTTCATCTTCATCCTGGCGCCTCTGCCTTCCCAATATCTAACTGATGGCAGAACCATGAGCTTGCTTGCCTGGAGAACACACTGATTGTTGGGATTTTTGTAATGGTTTTGTTCCTCATGATCAAATGGTGCTGCTTGATCTTTCCTTTCGATATCCTTCTCTGGATGCACTGGCTGCGAATTGATCAAACTGCCAATGCTGCTAGTCATTAAAATAATGTGTCCATCTCTGGTTAAGCACAAAGCAAGTTCTTCCTCACTTCTATAAGGGATTCCACTTTCTGGTATAACAGTGCTTTGATGAACACCCAAAAATGCCTTAGAAGGAAAGACCAGAGATCTTGAGCTAGAGGGACTGTACATTAGAAACAAAACCAAGGGTGAACCAATATCAAGCAGAGCAACCTGACGGCTTTCAAACGCCATAACCCGTTTGGATCCTGATGCCATGCACTGCCAGATGCATACTGGGAAACTGACAAGTGAAAAGGTGAAAAGATAGCTGTGCATTGATACCCAGCACCACTTGGGAAAAGGGAGACTTCAGTGTTGGGTTCAGTGATCAAATGCAATCTTGTTTTCTCCAAGCAAGAGCTGCTGCCAAGCCTGTATCAGGGAACTTGACCAGATTTGTTCCCAATAGCAACACTCCAAGAGTTAGTGGAAGAGTTTAGAGTTGTTGTAGCTGCACTAGTATTAATGCTTTCCAAGCTCTTCACCTCAGATACAATAGCCCCAAGGTTGTAGAACCAAGCAGACTCATCATTATCAACATCTTTCTCAAAATTCTCTTTTACTAGGATATGATCATTCTTCACCCCGTAACTCTTCGTGTAAAAGTATTCCTTAATATCATAAGTCGACTCTACTGCCTTTGGGTAATTTCCACCAAATCTCGCTCCTTTTACACGTATTTCTTCAAGAAATTCCCTTTGCCTTGCCTTGCCCTGATCAATAGGCTCCCGAAACCATGATAATGCTTTGGCATGGGCATTCCTCACTCCCTGAACTGTTCCTTCCCTGGTAGCAGAGGGTGTATCGAGTGACATTCCATTCGCTTCAGTAACCTTCCAGCCTTCAATAGCAAGAAATGTTTGTTTGCTTTCCTGTGATGTATGACCTACACCTTTATTTGCACCAGCACCAAAAACAGGAACATAGTTGTGATAAATTGTTAACTCTTCATCCTTCTTGATGTCCCTTACTGTCTCAACTATCTCACCAGTGGCAGAATTTGTTTTCATGCCCTGAAATTCAGCATTCTCATCCTCATTAATCTGCTCATCAGAATATACTGAGTTAACAAAAACTTCAACTCCATTTGACAGTTCACCTGTTGATCTAGGATTGACAGTAACTCCAAACAGTCTCATATTCCGCACTCTTGAAACCCCAGTGCCTGGCTGTAGCCCAATCTCAACATTGTGAGGAAGATTTTGATCATATGAAGCATTTGGATTTTTACCATATTCAGAAGTTACCGGTTGAACTCTACCCTCAACCAAGTTGAAGAGTCCCATAGAACATCGATAATCTGCGCATCCAAGATTAACAGGACCACTGACAATTTCTCCTCGTTTTTCATAGTCGCCCTCAATGAACTTCTCTGCTTTTTCTCCATATTGCGAAGCACTCTTAGCGTCAGAGGAAGGTTGCTGCAGATTAATGACTTTCAAACTGAGCTGTGAAGCTTGTGAAGTGAGAGACTCTGCTGGCGATTTCTTCTGGCTTTCATCGTTGCCCTCAGTGAACTTCTCTCCATTTTCTCTGGATCGCGACACACTCCTATCTGTAGAGTAAGGTTGTCGTCCACTAACAAACTCCTGTGGGACTGATGAAACGTGCGCACAGTGAAAAGTGTTTTGCGACAAAACCTGCGATGAGAACTGCGAACTGAGAGAAGTCGCGCCTTGAGCCCTGAGAATTGAGACCTGCGAACTGGTAGACTGCGACTGCGAAGAAGTTCGCGATTTCGAACTTTGAGATGAAGATCGCGAAGAAGCCAGACAACTGGACGGAAGTGCTGGCGACTGCGAACTTGGAGAAACCGTTCGCGATTGCGAAGAAGAAAATCTCGATTGTGAAGAAGAAAATCTCTGAATCTGTTCATTCAATACGGCCATATAAGTCGCGAAGTGGCTCTGAATCTGTTCGTTCATCGCTGCCAGAGAAGCTGCGATGTTTGCCATTTCCGTCCTCTCCCGTTCCGACGTATGAACACGGTTTTCCATTTTTTTTTATCTCGTTCTGACCATCCACCTCTGTAACGCAAACTAGGTTTCAATCGAGATTCAATTTCCGATCCCCAGGAGCAACTGCTCTGATACCAATGATAGGTAACTCCACAAAGCAGCAGAAATTTAGTGTTCAATTGATAAAATCTGAGGAACCGATCCTCCCAGTACAATGGCGCATAACAGTAAACCCACGTATAGTAGCGTAAAACAGAAAATAGAAGAGAAGAAAGGTTTGAGACAGTTCGAGTCGTCTCACACTCCCAAGGCCTAATTCCAGATCCAATTTCTACCTAACCTCCCCCACTCCTCCCTCTCACTCTTATACTAATTTTATTCTTAAAGGCCGGCCCAAGCCCATATACATGGCCTAGAACCCTTATTTTTACTCTAATACCATTGTTTAATATCACTCTATTACTATTATCAGTATTTTTCTTCTTCTTCAGCCTGGGATCCTATCAGACGACCTAGCTGTAGTGATATTAATATTTCGATTCATGTCATGTGATGTGACTAAGTGACACTATTGGCCATCACACGCCTACCACAACACCCTCCTCCTTTATCCTCGCTTGGGACAGGCATGATACCAAAAAATGATCTCATGGCGGAGTTAGTAGGTTTTAACACTATAAAGAGAAAATTGATAGCAATACCCAGTGGCCCTTACCTTTGTTTTTTCTTTGTAAATAGATGATAGATATACTTCATACTTCAGTTGATGCAAGTGTGCAACAAAGTTTTCAATATTTGTTTTCCAGCTTTCACACTTACGATTATGCAAGACATTTCGTCAGTGCTTGCACTCGCATTCTTGGACTGGAAGGAACACCTGAAGGGGTTGAGGATCAAGGAAAGCTTACTCGTGTGGCTGCGGTATCACTACTACCAGCTTTGCTGTGTATTATTGTCATTTTCCAAACCATTTCCATCTTTTTGCTTTGGTACTTTTTTAATGAGACTTGTGTTAACATTTAATGGGTTACTTGGAAAAAAGTTTCCTATTGGAATAGATGCCAGTCGTTTCATTCGTGCACTTGAGCTTGCTCCAGTGCAGTATCACATGAAGGAGTTGCTAGAAAGATTTGCTGGACAGAAGGTTCTCTCTCACTCTCAGCAGTGCAATTTATTACTCATTTTTGTTCTTTGGATATTGACATATGGTATATATTAGTTTCTCTGTTATCCAAAGTCGGAGATTTTGATTTAAAAAATCAGCAACAGAAACATTACATGGTTCTAACACTAAACAATTATATTTTTGAGGAGCAAGAAGTTAAGAAATGGTGTGTACTTGAGGTCACACTATATTTGAAGTTGGAAACAATCCTTATAATTTAATATATTGTTATTTGCTATACTAACGATATTAAGAATTTCCTTGCTCACTGCTAGTGGCAATGTGGCATGCTTTTTATTGTAAGAATTAAAGACAGAATAATATTTAGAAGTGAAAGATTTTGTGTTTCTATTGAAGGGTTTAAGCCCTACAAATATACTTTACAAAGATAGAATATTCCTATAAGATTCTACAGCATAATAATATTCTACAATGTATTCCTAAAATATTCTGAAGGATATTTGTGAACTTTTCTAATGTATTTCACACTTCCCTCAAGTAGGAGCATATATATTTATCATGCCCAACTTGTTACATAAATAAGCAACTGGAATCCCATCTAGTACTTAAGTAAATAAATCTTCAAGATGTTCTCCGGTCTTCACATATCGGGAAGAAATTAATCGTTGCGGTATCTTCTCTCGAATAAAATGAAATTGACATCAATATGTTCCTCTTTTCTCGTGAAATACTAGATTAGTGACAATGCGTATTGGGGCTTGGTTGTCACACCATAGTTTAGCTGGCATTGATGTCTTCAATCTGATTTCACTTGATACACGATTTATCCACATTATCGCACATGACTCTGCCATAGCTCAATATTCCGATTCAACATTGGAACGGAAAATCTCATTACTCTTCTGGAATACCAAGTTACGATCAATAAAGTCACAGTAACCCGATGTAGATGTCTTATCATATTTAGATCTAGCTCAATCAGCATTTGCAAAGCATTCTATTTTCATGTGATCACGTTTGGTAAACAACAACACATTCCAGTGCACCTTTGAAATAACATAATATATGCTCTATGACATTCCAATGACAAATAGTCGGAGATGCCATATATTAACTCTCTACACTAATAGAGTAAGCAAAATCTGGTTGGTAATTGTGAGATAATTCAGCTTTCCAACCAATCTTCAAAATCAGTGGGACAAAAACTTGCGGTGTAATTTCAGCAAGTGTGGACTTAGGTATAGTAACTTCGTAAATGAGGGTATTATTCCCCATCATGATTTGCCTTAGATGATGAAATGAGGCATTGATAGAAACAAGATATCAGCCTGTACTTGGACAAAAACATAAGAAAGTGCACTTGTAATGATTTGGTATCAAACTTTGTAAGATGAGGATTAACATCTCTAACAAAATAAGTGCAACCAAATATTTTAGGTGGGATAGGAAAAAAGCTTTTTATTTGGAAATAGGCTTTGATAAGCAGCTTTACCATCCAAAACAGAAGACGCCATACGATTAATTAAAAAACATGTTGTAGACACAACATGAATTCAAAATTGTTTAGGCACATCCGCACATTCATCTAAGAGGCATTGCAGTGTCTAATGGATGGTGATTCTTTCTTTTAGCAACTCCAGCAATTTGGAAGTGCGGAGTTCCGATCCCTGGTCGCCGGCGGCGGGAACACCAGATTGGAACGGAGGTGAGAAAGGTTGGTGTTGCTAGATTGTGAACTGAGGTTCTGTTAATGGTGTCAAGGTTCTGTACCGAGTTTCCAAAAAAAATAGCGTGAAATTAGGTTGAAATGGAACAAAATGGCTATGATACCATGTTGTAAGAATTAAAGATAAAATAATCCCGAGGAGTGAAAGATTTTCTGTGTTGAATTGTTTAAGTCTATAAATATAAAATATAAAATATACATTACAAAGATAAGATATTCCTACAAGATTCTATAGCATAATAATATTCTAGAGCATATTTCTAACTTCTAAGATATTCTAAAGAATATTTCTAAACTATTCTAATGTATTTCATACTTTTGATAACACTATAAGAGTGCCTAGATATTTTTAATGAAGGTGCAAATAGTGTTCTTTGATGCCTGCTACATTATAATATTATGGAATTATAAAAGAAAAATTAAGTAGAAGAATGAAGAGTGATAACTAATGGATTTACATTGGTTTCATTCTGATTTGATTTTAATTCATTCATTAGTTGATCTATTTCAGGAAGTGATTTGCTAGGATTTCCCTTCCCTTGTTTTACGCATTCATATGCATGTATATTCTATTATAAATGGAGCTTTGCTATGATAATAAAATATCCAAGGAAATATGATGAAAAATCAAGGAGAACTAAAATTCTCCAAACTTTAAAGGAGAAAAAACTCTTTAAATTTTTGCAGCTGTTTTCTTTTTTCATTTTAATTCACTCTCGTGGCGCAAAGAATCCTGGGACATAACGTTCTTTTATTTGATTTGAAGGATAAAAATTCCTTAGATCTTGTATGCACCTTTAGGTTATTATTTGAAAAAATTGATGTTTCTTGGAGGTGATAGTTGATATGCTTCTGACAGGTTATGTTAGGGGTAGATCGTCTTGATATGATTAAGGGTATTCCTGAAAAAGTCTTAGCTTTTGAAAAGTTTCTCGAAGAGAATCCAGACTGGCGGGATAAGGTAGTTCTGCTGCAAGTTGCAGTGCCAACAAGGACTGATGTTCCCGAGTGTACGTTCTTTTCATTTATTGTCTGTGATTTGTTTTTTATATATTTTTGCATTACGTTACAGGTTTAAATTTTTAATTGATTGTGGAAAATTAATTGACACCAAGTTCCAATTGAGTTTAGAAAAAATAGTTGACTGTGAGGTACATGGAAATCTGGCCATGAATTGTTGAATATTGAAACTGAAATTGTAGGAACTGAAAAGAAACGATATGGATGAGCAAGTTTGAGAGTGCTTCGTCTCTCCCGAGTCCCAGTCCAAGTCCCAACTTCTGCGTACCTCTATTCTACTCCCCCAACTCCTATTTATTCTTTTCCATTTGGGCTAGCCCAGTGCTATTTAATCAGGGCCTAAGCTCTTTTTATTGTACAATATTAAAAGACTAATAGTATTCTTGTTACTAGTACTATCTAGGTCTCTATCATTACTACCTCCTTTGACAACCACCTTGCCCTCAAGGTGGGGAGTAAGAAACAGCAATGCCATTCAGCTTCATCCTCGCCTCTCCCTTCTCAGTACCTCCTTGATTTCTGGGCTAGAATCTTCGCTTCTTGAACCTTCATCATCACTTCCTCAGCCCCATATCCCCCTAAGATTTTCACAGCTTTGTGGCCTTTACTTGCCCAGAACCTAACTTCATGAGGAGAACCTCCAGAGGCAGCCTTAGAGGTGGACCAGGCAGCCTCCTTATTGATGCCAATGGAACAATGATAGATGCCTCAATGACTGATTGAAACTTATCCTATGGTCCATCCGATAGATACATAGGTGCCCAACAAGAATCTGTCATAGCTTCTTCCTCATTCATATGGATTAGTTTCTGAAGAACTCGCAATGCCGCTTAGACCAGGTCAAGTGGTGTTGGTGGCTGGCCTTGACAGATATTTAATAATACCCATGTAGCGTTTCTCGACATAGAAAGCTTTGCAGGCTCATTCAACTGACCTAGCAAAGGTACAAGTGAACCATGACCAATAACCAGATTCCTACAGGTTGGAGCATCACCAGCAGAACCAAATAAGTGTGTAGACTGTAGAGGATGCAAGAGCTGCATGCCATGCTTCAGCACGAACCTCCCCTATGCCTCCCGACCAACCTTCACCAATTTCAGTAATATTCCAGAAAGTTATAGCCGGTTTATGCTTAATATCAAGCCCAATAGATGCAGTGAGTTCATCTTCAAAGGAAACCTGTCCAATAAGTACAATGGCTTTTGTTACCCGACACAGTCTTCCCCTCTCACAATCCTTGCGTAATAGACTTGAATTCATACTGGCAGAATCAATATTAATTGATAATAAAGTTTTATCTCTTTCAGTGGAAGTGTAATCACCTGAAACTCCTCTTGATCGCGTCGTACTTGGACATGAACTGATAGCTGAAGAAGGAACCTGCGAACTAAGAGTAATTCCATACTTCCCAATAGTAGAGTTTGTATTCATACCGTGAACACCAGCATTCTCCTCAACCTGAATCTTCTTATCAGGGAACATTGAGCTAAATAAAACTTCAATTCCGTTTGCCACTTCACCAGTTGAACTATGACGGAGGGTAACTCCAAACATAGTCCTAATAGGAAGTTCCTGAACCTCCACACCCCTCGTGGTAGAGTTTCTAGTACCATCAGCGCCTCGATGATTGGAATCATCCCCATTAGGAGCTCCAAAAACAGTCTGCCCCTGTTTCAGTAACACAGTTGTAGGTGATAATGCACCAATTCCTGTCCCTAATAGAAAAAGTTGTGACTGATCCATTATGGGATTGGGCCCAGTTATAGATACAAAAACATCAGGCCCAGCATTCACAGTAATATCGGATTTCCACTCAAGTGCTTGAATCCTCCACTCTGTTTTATCTGTGCTTTTACCTGATCCTCCAGTTGCCTTGGCAATTGCTCTTTCACTTTTCCCGAACGAATTCCATTTCCATCCCTCTCAGGCTGTTTCAAATCTTCTGGATAATTTGGCAGATATCCTGTAGTTTGAGTCATATCATCATCCGGACCTGGTTCCTTGATTGATGGTTCAGCCGGCCTCAACTTCATTGTGGGCGATGAAACTTGAGCACCGTGAGAAGAGGCGTGCGATGAAACCTGCAAACCCCGGAGATCTGTTTGCGATGAAAACTGAGAATTAAAAGTTATTGTTCGCTGTGAAGCTGGCCAACAGGATGAAGCTGCTGGCGATGAAGATCGGCCAGGAGAAACAGTTCACAACGAACTGGGAGATGACGCGGTTCGTGACTTCGAACCCTGAAATAAGTCACGCGTTGAGCACTATGAACTGAGACCTGCGAACTTGTAGACACGGTTCACGATTGCGAACTGTGAGATGAAGTTCGCGACGAAGCCAGACAACTGGACAGAAGTGCTCGCGACTGAAAAGTGACCTGCGCACGCGACGATGCCTACGAACTAGGCGAAGCTGTTCGCGATTGCAAACTAGGAGGAGCGACGGATGACGAAACCTGGTTTTCAGTTGGCCGACGGCGTCTAGGAGGGCTCCTTGCTCGGCCTCTAGTTCTCCGGCGACGCTGTTTACCGAGATGATTTATCATCTCGTCCAACATCGTTTCCATCTTCGTGACATGGCGTTCGACGGTGCTATTCTCCATCTGTGCACGCGTAACAGTCCTTTACTCCAGCCATCATTGATGCTCTGATACCAATGTTAGGTACACGGAAATCTGGCCATGAATTGTTGAATATTAAAACTGAAATTGTAGGAACTGAAAAGAAACGATACAGATGAGGCAAGTTCGAGAGTGCCTTATCTCTCCCAAGTCCCAGTCCAAGTCCCAACTCCTGCGTACCTCTATTCTACTCCCCCAACTCCTATTTATTCTTTTCCATTTGGGCTAGCCCAGTGCTATTTAATTCAGGGCCTAAACCCTTTTTTGTTGTACAATATTACAAGACTAATATTATTCTTGTTACTAGTATTATCTTGGTCTCTATCATTGACACCAAATTTCAAGCAATGGACCCCAACGTAGTTGGGATTAAGGTGTTTGTTATGTTTTCTCTTCACTTGAAAAAAGTGATTTACTTTGTATGGCCTGATATGGTCGTGTCTGACCATCTGTATGTTTCTGATTCTGATCTTATCTAGTTTTCTTGTCTGCAATATAACATGTACTCTGATTGTTCTGAGTGCTTTTAGTCTCTTTGAAATAAGAAAAAAAGAATAAGGTGAGAAGAAAAATGTGTAACAATCCCACACCGGTCAAGTATGGGCTTGACCGGTGGCTTATAAGCAAGGTGTTCCCTCCTCCTAATCGACTGTTCTTTTGGGAGTGAGTTCTACACCTAGGCTTATGGTATTGGTATGGACCTAGTATGTGCTATGTTCGTAACAATTGGTATAAGAGGCATCCCCATCTTCCTGGTCCCGACACTCGGAATGGTGGCCTATGGAGTGGTGGCTTTGGGCCTTGGGGGGTGCCAACCGTGACCAACGAGGACGTTGGTTCTTCGAAGCATGGGGTATTGTGACGATCCCACACCGGTGGCTTATAAGCAATGTGTTACTCCTCCTAATCGGCCGGTCTTTTGGGAGTGAGTTCTACATTGGGCTTACGGTATTGGTATGGGCCTAGTATGGGCTGGGATCATAACACAATGCCTAAATCTTTTGTTATGTATTGCTTTTCAATTCACATTCTAAAATGATTGGTGTAATACTTTGAAGCTTGATGAAAGCGCTTGGTGGCCAAATGTGCACTTTTCTTGTATTCCAATGGTCATCTATATATTCAAATATTTTCCATTTCTTATCAAATACTACAGAAGTAATAATTGAGTAGCCACTTTCAATTTTTTCACTGGATTGTGTCTAAAATCTCATACAATTTACTCAAGTCTTCTCATTGTGTCTAAAATCTCATACAATTCACAAAATACTTGGAAGTGATATATTATAAATGGAATCATTTTTTGCTTGGTGTTCTAATTCTCTAAGACTATGTAATAATAAACAAGCTCCTGGAATGAACAATGTGATGAAGACTTAATTTTGTATCAATTAAAGCCTTGTTATGAATTCAATAATAAATATTAATACATGATCCCAAATTCGTAATATGATATGATGATGAGTTTAAAATAATGAGTGTGCATCCCAACTAATAGCTTATGTTTTTCGTCGAGGTGTAATATGTTTATAGAGTTTGAATTATGAACACATGTGACCTATCATCGAAATGTTCATAGCTGTTTAGCGCATCAAAAGATTGTGCTCACATGTAAGAGGGTGTATTGAGTATAAATGTACTAATATAGTTTTGTATTTTCACTAGTCCCTCAATACAGGGTGTATTGAGGACATACTTGGCACGGCGTCGCCTAGACGCCTAGTTGCTGACTTGGCGTCCTGGCGATGGAGAATGGTCAACAAGGGAGATTGACTCGACTGAAGAAGATAAGTCGCCTTTGGCGTCGTCTAGGTGTAGACATGTCTTCGAGGCGCAGTCCTGGTGTCACACCAGGGGAGATTAAAATCTCAATAAATTTGTTTTTAGAAACCCGGCCCAAAATATTATTTAGAAAGTAGTAATTAAGAAACTAATTTAGAGTTTTAGAAAGTAATTTAATTATATATATAAGGAACCAAAACCTTCTGAAAGTCTGAAACTCAAAGGAAAACCGTTGATTCTCAAACTCGAAGGCCAATCGGCGACTCCTAAACATGAAGCTTCAAGCCTCTTTCACGAGCCTGTGTCGCAAGGTTGAAAATGACTTGCGCTTCTGCTCCAGTTTTTTAGTTTTGTCGGTTATTCACATATCACTTTATGTCTTTATCAGACTTTTTATTCCATTATATAAATATATGTTATACTCCCTCCGTCCCAATTTGATTTGCAAAATTTCCTTTGTTGGTTGTCCCAAAATGGTTTTCCACTTTCTATTTTAGGTATGTAAATAAGAATAAAGTGTCCAATTTACCCCTACTTTTACTTTTTCCTCATTAACTTAAAGGCATCTACTTTTAGAAAGATGGGCAAAAGTGTAAAAAGCAAGCATCATTTAGTGTCATTTCTTAATCCTTGTGCCGGTCAAAGTTTGCAATTCAATTCGGGACGGAGGGAGTATGCAGTTAAGCACTAAGCAGTATACCCACTACAGTTTTACATAGTTTAATTCTAATATTATACATGTATAATTCGTATACACTATACAGTCGACAATATATGTGTGTGACTGTGTGTGTGTATATAATATTATACATTGTGTGGCTAGTGGCCTAATTGTTGCCTAGGCGGGCGTTTTTTTGCCTAGGTGATATGGCATTTGGCTGGCGCCGCGACTCGCCTTACCTCCGTGACAACTATGATTGAGGATAAATATGGATTGGAACACATACCTCAGAATCATATGCTTACTATTTGTACAATGTGATCATTTTTTAAGTGATCGATAGCATTTCTATATTGGAGGATCTAATAATATTTCATAGATTATTAATGTCCTTGATACTTTTTTCAAAAACTTTCTTCTCCTTACCATACTATCTGTTTCCCTTTCTTTGTCTGGCAGATCAAAAACTGACATGTCAGGTTCATGAAATTGTTGGACGCATTAATGGAAGATTTGGAAAACTTACAAATGTTCCAATTCACCATTTGGTTTGTAAATTTCTATTACAAAAACTGTTTACATTATGCGTTGTGGTAACTAAAGATATTACTACTAGCTAACTAAAGCTACTATTTAGGGAAATGTTGATTTCTTAGTTCTTAGCAGAACAGTTCTCATTCATTAGTCTTGAAACTTAAAATTGCAAAAAGTAAACTTGTCTTAGTCGTCTTACCTTAAACATACACACCCACACACGTTTCTTCATTTTTTCTTCTTCCTTAAAGTACCATTACTACTCTCTTTTGCGTTCATTTCTATAAATTTGTTCTCAATGTTTGTGTAGGGCACACCATTACTTCTAATAAGGCCAACATCAAGTAGGCCCCTGAGCCCCTCTACCACTCCAAATTGTTCAATTCACTCCCCTAAATGAGTTAAGCTTCAATATAACCGTTAACCCTAATTGATAATGCAATAACTCTATTTAGTAGGTTGACTACTGGTCTATTTCCCACTCAGCAGGTACATGCCCATGTGGTAGCTGAGTGGAACCCAAACTCAATTTTTTGTACTTACAGAGTTACAGGGGGTCGCATTATCTTCTTCCCAAATAAAAATTCAGATTTTGTTTTCTCTAAATTTGGCAGCCAAGGATGCCCGAACAGAGGTGTGTTGCGTGGCTGTGCTGTTTTCATGCTTAAGATCATCAGCTTTTAGCTTCCTACTCATTTAATCAACTAGGTCTAAAATGCAATGGAAACACCTACTAATCGCTCCTCCCCAACCATTCCGAGCGAGCTATTCTTTGCCAGAAAACATGCTCTGACCACATCATGGTTCTGCTCTGTGAGCTCATGGCCAATGGAAACACGCAAGACTGTCATCTGAGACCATCATCTTTAGCCTTCTACTAATTTAATTGTAACCTCCTCCTACTCAAATGACCAAATAGGTCTAAAATGAAATGGAAACACCCACCAGGGCACCAACTACTCCTCCCAAAACATGCATGGTCCTCTATATCTCGTGTGCAAGCTATTATTTGCCAGAAGACTTGACCCTGACATCTTTGCATTCTTCTTTGGAAACATTCAAAACTGTCAACTGCATTGTAAGTGGAATTAAAGACATGGAAAAATAGTGTTTCAATTGCATTTGGCATAGCTTAAGCGCTTGAGCGTTTATATCATTCTTGTGACCCTTCACTGATCCGTGGTGATATTAAGACCAGTAATATCTTGATAGCCACTAAATCCAATGCAACAATTGGAGATTTTGTTTTTGGCAAGGCTGAAATCGCTGGATCATGTTGAAGTGATGGTAAAAAGGAGGGTTTTTTAGGGAATATGGCGGATGATATTGAACTATTGAAGAAATAGGAAAAAACCGGTTATGAAGATCACTAGGTGGCTATAATTTTTGTTTGTGCCCATTTAGCTACCACGTGGGCATTTAGCTATAGGACATTGGTTAGCAACTTATAAAATGGATGGATTGCCGGTTTTAATTGGGCAGGAGGTTACAATGGAGTTTTTTTGCTCAAGGGGTGGATTGAACAAAATAGAGAGAAGGGCTATTTGACCATTAGCCTTTTATCAATAATAGAATTAGCCTCTTTATAATTAGAAAAAAAAACCCAAGAAGGGACAATGGTATATTGTTGTACCTTGCTCACATGCAAACATTGGTTCTCTCTCACACATAAACATTCACTTATTTGTTTTGTGTGGCTCACCTTATCACTTTATCAGGGTAACATATATGCTTATGAGCTCTTTTCATGCAGTATCAAATATGTAATAGACATGACAATAGCCAATATCTCGACTCATTGCCTTCTCATTATATTTCCCATGATGCCTATGATGATGACATTTTAGAATTTCCATCTATATTATTCCTTATGAAGGTTGCAGCATGAAGGGAATCTGGCATAAAACATTTCTACCGTGCTTTTATTTGCATGAATTTTGTTTTAATCCTATACAATTAATTGACACTACGCTAAATGTCTCGTATTCCAACTAGCTGGGATAAGGTGCTGGGATAAGTGCTTGAGGATTAATTTATCTTCAAAAAATTAATTTCTGGCTGCTGCAAGTGTTTCTCTTTAGGAATAGTGAGTATGAAAAGATTGTTGTTCTTATTATTTTTAACACTTTATAGGACTACACTCTGGACTTTCACTCGCTGTGTGCCCTGTATGCAGTAAGTGGTACTGATTCTATCTCTTATTCATTTTAATTGGTATTTGGTATGGAAAAGGAAATACTTTATGAACTAACCAGAAAAGGTAGTTCCTCAATCCTCCCTATCCTTATTCATTTATGAACTTTGGCAGATGTGGCATTGGTAACATCTTTGAGAGATGGGATGAATCTTGTAAGTTATGAGTTTGTGGCCTGCCAATCCTCAAAGAAAGGGGTTCTCATTCTAAGTGAGGTAGATATCATTTTCCCCTCTATTAAGCTATTCTTTTTAGTTCCACACCGTTCAGACTACATTTGACCTTTGGATGTCTTTTTTCCCCGGTAGATTTTTGGATGTCTTTATTCTACCAAGTATTTTTTTTACAAAAATCCTCAAAAAAACTGTGAATTTTTCCACCACTCTCAATTTTTTTTCCTCTGTGGGGGTCTTCGTGTAAATAGCCTCTCAGACTCCTACAAGAAGAGGTAAGGTTTTCGACTTTTCATACTTCTTACCCTCCTCAGACCCTACTTCCAAGAGAGGCTTACTTGGTTTGTTTAGTTTGATTCCGCAATTAAGTTCTTTAAAACTTCTTTGTGCTCACTTTTCCCCCCATTCTTCTCTCTGAAGATTGTTTTTCAGTAGATTATAACTGAAACTCATAGAATGTTGTTCCAACTAAATCCCACATTATTATGAGGCCTTTCAGGAAGTGCCTTAAAGCAAATCGGTGTGGGGTTGCGCCAAAGTGGCCCATATCACACTAATTTGGAGTCAATATGACACTTGCATTCCTAACAAACGTTACACAAGTAGCTGTTTCTATTGGTTATGCTTTAAAATTAATAGGCATGTTTACCTTATGAAATTTATTATATCACAGTTTGCAGGTGCAGCACAGTCACTTGGTGCTGGGGCAATTCTGGTTAATCCATGGAACATTACAGAAGTTGCTGCTTCCATTGCTTATGCTCTAACAATGCCTGCCCATGAACGAGAAAAACGTCATCACCTTAATTTTATGCACGTCACAACTCATACATCCCAAGAGTGGGCTGCAACTTTTGTTAGGTATGAAGAAAAAGGTCACAACTACAATGTCGGGTTATAAATGTTCCCTTGTTACTTAGGTTTGCAATAGTAGTGGGTATATTTTCTGCAAGTTGGCTTTTCTTGGACCCTGATGGTAATGTTTTGTGAAATGTAGTGAACTGGACGATACCATTGTTGAAGCTAAGCTGAGGACCAGCCAAATTCCTCCTGTGCTTCCTACAAATGCTGCTATAGAACGTTATGTGCAGGCAAATAAGCGACTGATAATACTGGTAAGTGATTTCATCTTTTTGGAACAAGTTGGTTTATCCCTACATCATGGTCCGTTTCCTTTCCTTGCAACTAGATGCAGAAATGCAGGTCTTTTTTTCATGGAGCCCAAGAGTTCAAATATATTATAATAATAATGATAATAATAATGATTACAACTACTACTCTGCATTGTTGGTAATATTATTATTATTATTATTATTATTTTTATTATTATTGTCAAAGCACATTTCTGTTGAGGAACACTTCCACAAACATTTAGTGTTTAAATTTAGTAGTTAAATAGTTACTGTGTAGTTACTCGGTCAAAGGTCGGGTAGTGGTTAGTCATCAGACATTATTTAGGAGTAGTGATGATCACCCATCCAGGCCATCCTTGCAGTCTTGCATTAGTAAAATCTTAAAAACATATCCTACACTTTCTAATAGTATTCGTTTTATAAGTCTTTATATACATAAAGCAAAAGAAAATTAGCATAATTCATGAAACATTTAATGAAGATCCTGTTATCTAACCAATCCTAACTTCTTATGTCCTAAATTAATCATTGTTTTCTTCGTGATCAACATCATCTTTGTTGTCCTTCATATCCACACACATCTCGAGTCATCATGTATTACTAGTTTACTACTAATACATGTAAGAAATGTTGTATTAAATTCTTTCCAAGTTTTGAATCTCATCACAAGCAATAAAAGATGAATCCTGCACTTTGTCATCTCCAAAGTCATACAATCTAACCCAAGAAGTACTATATTATTCTTGATTACTCTATTCCACGCCTGTCTAGTTCATCCCCTTCCTCTCCTCCCTGCCTTCTCTCCGCACTTCTCAATCCTTTCCTTTTGACGGAGTACATCACTTGGTCTTGTACTCATATGACCAAATCACATCTGTTGAGACTTTCACATCTTATCTTCAATATACTCCCAAATTTATTCTAATTGTCTAATCCTTCAAGCATTCTTTCGTAGTATGCCCAATGTGTGAAATATAATGTAATAAAAAATAAAATGAAACAATTATTACAAAGCAACAAATATCATAAAGATTCATAATCAAGACCAACAAAAATGAGGTCATAAACCCATCAAAATTTTATGTTCCAATCTCACACGCAGAAAGCATTTTCTAGCTGTTAAAGTAGTAAGATTATTAGATTGAGGAGACATTGCGTAAAATGGATAGACAATTTTACACAGTGACGTGCCTCCGTGCACTACTTTTGTTTTCTAGCTCAGCTTGAGAAGGTTTAAAGCCTCTTGTCTGTTGATCAACAATCATTATTAATGTAGAAAAGTATATAAAATAGAAACAGGCCAAAGTAAAAACATACTGTTAGCATCATTTGCTACAACTGTCAGAATAATTTTTATCATATTAGGAGTTATACAATGTGGCATTGAAATATATGAATGTAAACCACTGAGTTCATATCCTTGTGTTTTTCATACATACTGAAAAAGGTTAAAATAAAAAATAAATAAAATAAAAACCATACCTTACCATAGAAGATTGGAGTTTACCTTTCATTGAGAAGAGTTTCAAAAATTAAAATATGAAGAAGAGGAGTTCAGGAGCTTACACAGAACTACAGGAGTTTTAATGTTTGATTAGGTTGTCATTTAAGAGTAATGTTATAGGTGTATTATTTTTAATGTATTATTTTTAATGTTTGATGATTAGGTTGTCATTTAAGAGTGCTAATTATTTCCTAAAATAGAAATGGAAACTTTTACACGGGACGTCCAAAAGAGGCAACTGAGAACCTTTACTTGGGATGGAGGGAGTATTTTATAAGTCTAAACCTGCTAACAGAAGTGTCAGACACACAAGCCCTATGAATCTCCTTGTGTAGTGTCTATTGGGTACACCGTACACCTAAACATAAGAATACCCGTAGTGTTAAATGGATACACCTGTTATCGTAAATGGAGTAAATATGTGAGAGGCGCCGCCTCAGGCAAGGGCGGATCCAGGAAAAAATGTTATTGGGGGCATTAACTAAACACAATGTTTTAAAAGTCACTAATCGCTAGTAGGGCGGTGACTGGCCGCCTAGCGCCTAGCCCTCCTAGGCGGGTGCCTAGGTATTTTTCTTTCATTTCCTATGAAATTTAACAATCCTTCCTAATAATTTTATAGTATTTTGATAATATAAAGAACTAATAAAATCATTAAATGTTGTGCTTTTTGTAGTAAAATTATCAATAATTATATAATTAATAGATAAATGAACAGATTTGGGCATTTTAATCTCTAAAACTGTTCATATATATCCATAAAACTTTATATACATGTAAGAAAAAATTTTGTTGTAGGAATATGATAGTGAATTTTATAGGAATATAATACTTACTATCAAATGGTGTTAAGACAAAACAGGAAAAATAAATTGGGTCAATCAAATTTAGTTCAGGCCGCCTAGCCAGTACTCCAGTAGCCACCACCTACACTGCCTAGCCACCTAGACGGCCGCCTAGCCCGCCTGGTCAGCCGACTTATTTTCCCACCGATTACCATGAAATCGGGGCGCTCGGCCACCGCCTAGGACGATTTTTAGAACCGTGGCTAAACATAGTATTACAACATGTGGTAATTTTTTTTCAATCACATAAATCTCCCTTTATCCCAAATTAAATTGATTGTCTTGTTTCAGCTTGTATAATTACGAATAAAGTTGTTGAAAAGGTAAACTAAAATATGCGGTTGAGTTTTGAATATAAAAAAGTGAAATGTTATGAAAAACATATTTTCTGAAAATAAAAAGGAGCAAGACAATTACTTTAAAACAACACAAAAAAATACTACGTAGCTATTAAGGGCAGGGGATTACAAATTGAACCATTACCTATTTTTGGAAAAAAATAAAACAACTTAAAAAATTTGTCAACGCAAAATACTAAAAAAGAGGAAAGAGTTGTTAAGAGAAGCCTAGCAAAAAAGTAAAGAAACTTTAGTTCTGAAGTAGCTCTGAATTGAAGAACAAGGTTCTTGGTTAAAATGTTTTTTTGCTTCTCCGTATAGAGGTAATAGTTAATGGGGTGATGGGGGCATTCTTTTTTTTTCCATTAAGGGCACTATTATTATTTTTTTACTCAAAGACCACTATTTATAATTAAAAACTCAAATTTTATTGGGGGCATGTGCCCCCATTAAGTATAATGTACATCCGCCCCTGGCCTCGGGGTGTGATTGCATTGCGCAATTTTGAACGTTGAGTATGCTCACATATCCAACACAACATGCCCATTTCAGTCACACTTATGTCGTACAATAGCGTAGGCCTAATTAATGTGCAATAAAATTTACCCTTCAGTCTATGTGAAATATCCTGTAAAGTCCAAATAACCAAATTTTTATTTCCAGTCTTTCATAACTACGACTAAGTTACTCAACGAGACATCCAGAACTAGCTGAGTGACTTGGTTTTTTGAATCGGATCGAGTTTGTAAACAAAACGGCAATGTCCAAGGCTGACTAGTGAGTAGTAGGTGAGTACTCTCTGCACTCGCAGAATAAATTAAATTAAATATCTTAGGTTAGGTGTCTAAGGATGATTTTTGGTTACTGTTGTTATATTTATATTGACCGATGTCTAATATATCTAAGCCAAAGGCTTTTATCCCAAATAAAATAAACTGCAGACTATATACGATGGAATTGTGTTGGAGAATAATTAGTTAAACAGAGGGACTTCTTAAAAAGTAAGTAATTGACAATGCTTCTGTTATAGGGATTCAATGCAGCTTTAACTGAACCACTGGATGCTCAAGGAAGGAGAACTGATCAGTTAAAAGATATGGAGCCCAAGTTGCATCCAGATGTGAAGGAACCATTAAAAAGGTTATGTGATGATCCAAACACCACGGTTGTTGTGCTTAGTGGAAGTGACAGAAACGTTCTTGATGAGGTTGTTTATTTTGATTGTTAGTGCTGTTTGATGTAGGTTGTTTGATGGTTTTAACTTGTTTTTTGTTTTTATCGTTTTGGTAGAACTTTGGTGAGTATAATATGTGGCTGGCAGCAGAACATGGGATGTTTTTGCGTCAAACTAAGAGTATCTGGATGACAACAATGCCAGAGAATTTTCACATGGATTGGGTTGACAGTGTGAAGGTGCATTGAATTGTGTCAAGTAAAATATTGCTTTTATAGGGAATGGTCCTTTAATTTTATTTCTTTTTTTTGTATCAATCTTCAGCATGTATTTGAGTATTTCACTGAGAGGACGCCTCGCTCCCATTTTGAGATTCGTGAGACATCACTTGTGTGGAACTATAAATATGCTGGTAATTAGCGTCTCCATCCATCAATTCAAGAAATAATTACTCCATTCGCTCTTAATTAACTTTTCACTAAGCTAAAATTATGGTTTAAGCTGATAATTAATATTAATTTTGTTATCAATTGACAATTGCACCTCTTTTTTTTGTCTGTACCTCTTTCATTTGTTATTTTTTAAAAACAATCATCGTCTCCGTCCCTCTCGATTCAAAAAAAAAAATTACTCCAACCGCTCTTAATTAACAGTTCACTATGCTAATATTATGGTTTAATGTGATAATTAATACTACCTCCATCCCCTTAAGATTGGGACAAGAGGGAGTGATGCGATTATTAAGAAAAGTGGAATTGTACGATTGATACTCCGTATTAAAATGATAAAGTGTGAATTAAGTAAGAATGAATTACAACCACTCCAAATATTACCAAATATGATATGGGACAAACATAGTGGGACGGGCGGAAAAGGTAAAATGGGAGAAAGATAGAGGGACGGAGGGAGTGTTAGTTTTGTTTCGATTGACAACCCTACCTCTATCTTTGTTATTTATTAGAAGTAACAAGAAAGAGTCAAATTAGTGCGAGGGAAACTTAATCATTTTATTATGTTTTTTTAGTTGTCTAGATGCACTCTAATTTGTGATTTTTATTCTAAATGGTGCCTTTTCTAAATGTGCACTTATTTGAGGAAGTCACTTTTTACAATTTTTAAGCTTGTTTGTTGAGTGTAACATAAGCTCGTGTAACAATATTCATTTGAATATAAGCTCAGATGTTGAGTTTGGAAGGCTTCAAGCAAAAGACTTGTTGCAGCATCTGTGTACTGGCCCGATCTCAAAGGCTTCAGTAGATGTTATTCAAGGTAGCCGATCTGTTGAGGTCCGCGCAACCGGGGTTTCCAAGGTTTGAATTTCTAGAGCTTTCTTGTTCATCGTGTGGGTGAAATACTGAAATGGTGAAAGTGTTCTTGATTCCCTGTTAATGTGTTATGCAGGGTGCTGCAATTGATCGTATTTTGGGTGAAATAGTGCATAGCAGCAATGCCAAAACGCCCATTGATTATGTTTTATGTATTGGACACTTTCTTCCAAAGGTGTGCACACTTACCCTTGCTATATACCCCCCTCTTTCCAAAACCACCCTTACCCTTGCTATATACCCCCCTCTTTCCAAAACCAGGCATGTTTCTAAGTTTTTTTGGGTCCAAAAAGAAGTATCTGATTTTAGAAGTTAACATTAACGTTTAAGTCAAAGTCGGGTATAGTATAGCTATGCGGCAAATAGGTTGAGTCAATTACTCCGAAATCCGAACAATGTTAAAAGCAAGTTTTTTTGCTTTTTTCCCTACCGGAAGGGAGGGTTTATAAACTACTCCCTCCGTCCCTTAAAGGTTTGCCAAATTTGACCGGCGCATAGAATAATAAAGTAAAAAGTGTGTGGTAGATATTTGTGCAGAGGAGAGAGAAATAACAGAAGACACAAATTGATTGATTAAAAGAGAAAGTGTCAAAGTTTTTGGGACAACCAAAAAAGGAAAGTTGGCAAAGTTATAAGGGACGGAGGGAGTATTACTGTTAATGATGACATACTGATACATTTCAAATGTACTACGTATATTGATAGTTTTCATGCTCCTGGAAGCTTCCCAGATACTCCCTCCGTCCCATTTAAATCTTTACACTTTCCTTTTTGGGACGTCACATTTATTCATTTTCGTTTCCTTTTTAGGCAACTCCTTTTACATTAAATGTCTTAACGACCCTTCACTACCCACCCACTTTTTACATTTGAGTGGATAGCATTAATTCCCCCCAAAAGTCAAAGGGCATGCAAGACATTTGTTCTTCTATTAATTGAGCTCCTAAAATACCGTGCCAAAAGCATACATCAAGTTCTATCTGGGACGGAGGGAGTATTTCCTTGCTAATTTACATTTTTTTTAATGAAACGGTCTTTAATTTTTGGTAAAAGAAAATACAATGGCATTGCAAAATCCTGCAAGAGCTGCTGTCTTGCAGTTATCACAACATTAAGAAATGGAAAATAAAAGACACATTTGATCCACTTCTGGAAGAACAAAATTCACATAGCTTACAGTTGAATGGTGAGTGTGGCTCAGGATGAGGACATCTATACATTTTTTGAGCCGGATCTTCCAGTCGGACCATCAGCAAGGGCCAAAGCACCAAACCATATGAACAAAATCATGTCAAAAAATTCTTCAGGTAAAGTTGGGGTTACTAAGGACTCAACATTGAATAGAACTCAGGAGAACATTGATGGAAATGGAAATTGGTGGTCTATGATGCGCGAGAAAATGATGGTGAACGAAGGGTCATCGGTTCTTGATCTGAAGGGTGAAAATTACTTCTCTTGTGCAGTAGGACGGAAGCGCTCTAGTGCCAGATATCTTCTAGGCTCCTCTGCTGATGTTATTTCTTTACTAAAGGACCTTTCAGATTGCTCGTCTTTACTGGCATTGACCTAACACCATCATAGTGGGAAGCTCTATAATATAATATGTACTATAACTATAATTTGGAAGCAGCATTGATATGCCCTGCCTGTACCACAGGTATGCAACTTATCTTGTTGAAGATAACCAAGTGTCCTTGAAATTTATGCTGTGCAACTTATGTTTTTTATATTGTTGTGAATAACAGAATTAGATAGAGGCAAGTTCATGCGCTCAGGGGTCAATGGCGAGTAGAAGTTAATGAAACAGGGACGGTAATGCTCTACTTATCTGCTATATGGTTCAGAGAAGGAAATTATTGGGCTTGGCTGTTGAGCTTGTGTACCATCACCACTTGTACATTATTGTTAAAAATGGACAAACTCAGTCCGCAGGCCTGTTTACTTTTACAAACAATATGCAAAAACATTCGCAGAGGGCAGTCTAGTCATTTTCCTAAGTTTTACTTGAATGATTTGCTAAATGGCTGTTTTTTTTTAGTAGGCGTCCTTTTTTAAAGGAAATTTTATTTTTAAAGGAAATTTTATTGATAACATTAAGAGTACAATGCGAGAAAGAAAATAAAAATAAAAAGTACATAAAAGAAGAAATAAAAAAGTGTTAAATTAAAGCATAGTGGGTAGTGACTCCGCTTGGATTTGATGCGAGCGTTTATACTCTTTGGAATAACAACCGATCCGATAAACAAAACCTCTTCGCTGAATGCACATTTATTCAAGAGCGCAATGGTAGTGCACAACCGCAAGTTGGGGTTTATCAAAAAGTGAGCTAAGTGTCACGAGTCTCCCAGGGAACAAGTCCGTGACATAAGGGTACAATAGGAGGAAATTTTTCAAATCAAGACTAACATAGTATCATCTAAAAATAGGAATATATATTTCCTAAATAGGATTAACCATTACCTTTATAGCCTTAACTTAATTAATTAGTATATAATAATAATTAATTGTTCCTTGGTTTCCTTGTGAAACCAAGATAAGTCTGTAGGTGGTGGGCTTGCTTGGTGGTGCTGGTAGCCAACTTCGATGTGCCGATGTGGGCAAAAATCTAATGGCAACGACCGCTGACAAGCGGCAATTCGATGGTCTAGCAACTTGGAGACACAGTCGTCTAGTCTTGTGACGGTGGTTTTGTTTATTCACAAATAAAAAGAATAAGTCGTATTTTGAAAAAAAATGTTATGTTTTGATCCTACATGGGTATCTCTCATGAAAAAGAGTCATTTTTCAATTTTAAAGAATGAGACTAAAAAGAAGCTAAGACTATTACACACTTACTAATATAATCTCACATCTTACTACTACTACAATAAAACTATAGTGATGACTTTGCTAGTGACTAATATAATCTCATACCTTATTAGTGTTACATCATCGCCACAATGTCAGTGACCCATGACCACCTGGGCAGTGACCACTGTTGACCACAGTAAAACTCTGTTCCCAATCACAATGGCCAACGTCATCGTTGTTGGTCACATTGGCCATTGCCTTGTCACCATAGTGACTAGTTTTCAGTTAGTGACCACCACCAGTTAGTGATCACCATTCATGGTGACTGTCGTCAGTTTGATAACACGGGTAGTGATGGCTGATCAGTTGCAGCTACCATCATTGTGAAACTAAAAAAAGAATTGCCTAGTGACTAATTTTCAACCGTCTATGCCAAGTGACATCACCTCTTGTTGCTCTCGCTGACACCTTAACCTGCCCTCTCCCCAACTTCCTTGCCTATGCTCCCTTTCCCTGAATTCGCCCTTTCCCCCTACCCTTTGCCACACCGGCGTGTCCCCTATTGCCACTGTTCCCAATTGTGCTGTCACCCGATCCTAGCCACGTCACAGTTGCTCCTTAACCCTAAGAATTGGTGGGTGTCCCGACAAGGTTTGTGTTCGCCATCTTCGAAATTGAACAAGGGATGTGGACAGTTGGGTAGAAGAAGATGTGGAGAAAAAGAGACATCAAAGATGAAGAAATGAGAATCAGAGAGATGATAATAGACCTAGGGGATTCCCAGCTAATGAAGGTGCCAAGCTATGACCTTCTCCTAGTGCTACATGAAAAACGAATTTTGATTTATTTTTACGGTTCAAAACCGTTGCTAAAAGTTGAAAACAACTGCAACAAATAGCTATTTTTCTAGTAATGTAATTTATTTTCAATTTTACACTTAAGTTATCACGATATATTATACTACCACCTATCATAACTTTTAGTCATATTCTAGTATTCGACCTAAGCGTTGCATGAGAATGTGTCAATCATTATTAGTTAATGGTGACAACTTGAAAAAAGAGGCAATCAAAGTTACAATTTGGTGATATACATGGTCACTATTGGTTATAAAGTAAACAAATTTTATTGTGTTAATACTTTTTCAAAATTATAGATGAAAATGCATTTTCTTTAATTTTGATATCTTTAACAACTTTACTTTTTTAGAGCATGTGTTTTTAGTAATTCTTCTGCATATTATTTTATCGATTGTTAAGAAATGTGAAAACTCAATTTTTTATTATAAAAAACTAAGAAATCAGAAATAAGAAATCGGTAATATGAATTAGAAGTCCAAAAGTTGGTAAAATCAATGCCGAATGTCAGGAAAACAGAGGATTATGAGGAAAATAAAAAAAAATCAATATCAAAACTCACAAAAATAGAGGAGGAGAAGGGGTAGGAGTAGGGATGGACCCGGGCCGGGCCGGGCCCGGGTATAACCAGTGTCCGGGCCAGGTCTGGGTCGGGCCTGGTTCTATGTTTTTTTTGCTTTCAAATTAACCCCCGATCCCCCCCCACCCCCACCCCAAACCCCCCCAAAACACCCAGCCCTAACCAAGAAAAAAAAATTGGGAAAAAAGCTCGGGCCCGGCCTGACCGGGCCGGTTCAAGAAAAACGTGGCCCGAGTCCGCCCCGCCCAACCTGCCCCAACCGGGTAAAAGCCCGGGCACGCACAATAACGGGCCAGGCCGGTTCCGGGTCGGGCCAAACCGGTTTGGTCCATGCCTAGGTAGGAGGATGAGAAGGGTGAGGAGGATGAGAAGAAGAAACCTCAGTGCCGGTGGCACACATTGAAGTTGGCAGCGATTGCGGTGTGAGAGAGAGCCAGCAGCGGCGATGCACAGAAATGAGCTCGTGGGGTCGTGGGGACCGGATAAATCTGGTGCGCAAGGGGAACTATTGATATGATGCGCAAGGGAGAGAAGAGTTGATCCACAGAACGAACGATGGATCTAGCGCGCAAGGGAGAGAAGAGTAGGTATAAAGCAAGAACAAATTAGGATAGGAATGCAATTTCAGTATGTTTATTAATATTAGTAAGATGGTCTTATTAAGAGAAAAACATGCATGCTCCTAGTTAAAAATTTCTATACAAGGACCAATATTATTGAAAATCCTATTATGTCGCAATTCGAAAATTCTTCAACTATACAAAAGAATAGTAGGATTTTTTAAGGATGTGCTTACAAAATTGACACTGTTTTTGGTAACTTAAGACACTGTTTTTATATTATCTTGTGAAACGTATTCTATTTGCTTTGAGCAACACTTTTTGGCACCTGAATCCGAGCTGATTTCTTAAAAAAATTGACACTATGACGATTCACTCAAGCTTGAGGATGGAGTGTTCCCAAACTATCTTTCTTCTCTCAAGAGGCTCTCTAACGTTCTCACTCTAAGAAGTGGATTCACTCTTGGTTAGGATGGTTAGGAATGAAGACCCTACTCCTATTTATATTACTCCACCTCCACAATGAATGGTGAAGAATAGCTCTTTAGAATGCTGTACACGTGTCTTCATATTCTAGAGAGCTCCAAGGAGTCTCTATACCTTCCACCCCCTTTTGTATCTTTCCATTCTCTTTCATAAGGTTTCAGAAGGTTCTACACTATTTCACAAGCTTCTAGAGAGTTCTATACTTCTCTAGAGTTCTCTGGGTTGTTCTAGAAAATTCTATCCTTCTCTACAAAGCTCTAGAATTTTCTAGAAACTCTCCAATTAAGAAGGGATCCCAACACATATTAGAAATTATACCTATAATTTGTGAAATATGTTGATAATTATAGCGAAGTAAAATGACTCTAGTTTTATGTTAGATATTTAACCTTGTTGATAAGAAACTATAGATATAAATCAAATTTTATATTTTCAAATTCAAATCATATTTTTGAATCCAAATCACAAATCGAATTAACCCTTACTCCGTATGATGTTGGATATTGATCCAAGCTTGAGAAAGGAGTACATGCAACGCCATGCACACATGGAAGTCACGTTATTTATTTATTGTTTATTCATTAATATGAAGTTGAATAAGTCTTGAGTGGTTGGCTTATCTTTAGGAATTGGTTTAGTCCATGTTTATGTTAATGGTTGTATGTGGAGTATGGCTTAAAAATAGGAGGTTGTTTAGTTATTCTTTGATCAGTTTGTTGAAACTTTGCAATGGCTATTTATAGCCCTTCCCCTTTCGATAATATTAAGTGCGTTGCATCCTTAATATTCCATAGTTTTCATTATTTGAGTTCAACATTTGGTATCAGAGCTTAAGCATGATCCAAACACTTGTTGTTTGTTGTAAGGAGTAGTTAGTTGGGTTTGACAATAGGAGAAGTTTGGAAGGCAAAAAGGATGTGAAATCCTGATTTTAGTGCGAAACCCGGCCGGGTATGACCTTTACCCGTCCGGGTATGAAGAGAAAAACGAAGTTACTACGAAATAGGAGAAATATCCAGTCAGGTATCCCCTATACCCGGTCTTGTATGAAGTGATTTCAGGCAAAAAGATGTGCGGAAGAACATAACAACGTGGGAAAAAGATATGATTTGATCAAATACCCAGTCGGGTATCTCAAATACATGGCCGGGTAACCGTCATAGTTGATGCTAAACACCTATAAATAACATCATTTTCCTTCACTTTTAATCATTCTTCTTCCATATACTTAAGTTCTTCTTAGAATAGTAGTTTTTTAGATTTTTATAGCATTCGTTAGTCTCCAAATGAGGAGCTGAACTCCATTTCTTAGTTTTGCTCTTAAAGCTTGTTGAATGTTAAAGTTGTGAGTTATTTTCTTAACTTCTTTTCTTGAATATTAATTCTTCTCTTAATCTTATTTCTATATTAATGTTGGGGTGTTGCTAATTAACGATTAGTTAACGCTTCAACATTAATTATTACTAGCAACGATCAACGAACCGATGGTTAATCGTTGATAGTTTCACAAGTAAGTAACTTCGGTTTATTAATGCATGGTCGTGGTTAATAAACTTAAGATGGATTAACTTTGTTGGTTAAACCAAAACCGTTGTGTTAAGGTTATCATTCTCAATTGATTTCATTAAGGAGCTAAGAAGATTAAATGCTACTATTAAGTCGGTATGCGACGTTGTTCTATATTTGACTAATAGTAAGGGTTGTGAATGAACGGTCGTTATTAATAACTACCATCGATGAAATGGAGATACTCCTCGATTGAGTATTCGAG